GCCTTATGGGGATAAAAATGGTCACACAAACCTTTTTTTTTTTTTTTTTTTTTTTTTTTTAATAAGGTTACAAGTTTGATTGCTACAGTCATGTGCTCATGTTGTGTATTTAAATTCTTCAAGGCACTTCATTTGGCACTAAAAGATTCATTAAGAAACTGGAATCACATAATAGATAGATTTAAAAACTAGCTAACTAGGTCTTAGTGGAGTTGTCCTACAAGCAGATACCAGGCAGGTGTTACGTGTTGTCCTATAGCAATTGATTCATTAGATGTATGGTGTTTAATAGTGTTAGCAAAGATTTGAAAGAAGGCACAACTGATCACTTTTGAGGCTTGCACATGACTTGAGCTGGAGAAGTTGTTGACAATGAGGAGGATTAGATAATGAGAGCAGAGGCTCAGTAAGCTGGATGCCAGTGAACAGCTGGGGCAATATTAGAATCCTCCATCTAGAACTAGAGAGTGGTGTCCATCCCAGTTGGATTAAAGGACTCTACTAGGAAGAGGGTGACTTTACAAATCGGTGGCTCTGTAGACTGTCAGCTGAATAGGTGCCTTGTTGTGGCACCACTGTGTCAAAAGAGCTATGTGAATTTTGAACATAAGTAGGGTGATATCAAGTGAGATTAGAGAGATTGTTTTACCATTGTGCAGCTGTGTTTGTATCCCAGTTTCAGGATAGCATTTTAAGAAGAGTTAAAAAGAGTGGAGAACATTTGAAAAAGAGCCGCAAGTGCATTTAAGACTGGAAACAAAATCTTACCTTAGAACAAAAGAGCCAAGGGCTTCAGTCTTCTCCTTTTTAGGAAAAGAAGGGGGAAAAAAGATAAGAGCAACTCGATCAGTCTATCAGTATCTTTCTTTGGAACAGAGATGTGTCTGCTAGTTTTCAGGCTAGCAGGCAAATGCACAGCAGCATGTGGAAGCTGAGGCTGCATATATTCAGTATTTCAGAATAGGTACAGGCTTTCCAGATTAAGGACAATTAATCAGTACAGCAATTTATCACTAGAAATATTTAAGATTAGCTATATTTAAGATTACCTCCTTCCCCATTCCCATCCCTCACATGCATTTTTCTGGTTCACTAGAGTAACTAATTCAGGGAAACAGAAGTTCAGACTAGATAATCAGTGGTCCTCTTCAGGAAGGCATCAATATTGATCTATTTCAGAAGAAAAATATTTGGAAGCCAGTATTGGTAAAGCTGACATCAGACTGGAGTGTTGCAGTAATAGCAAGATAGAAAAAGAAAAATGTGGTTCTTTTCCCTGGGCAAGGATGCCCTCTTCCCAGTTAATATTAAGAGCTGGTGTTTTAGTGATGGATCAGATCTTTTACTATTTCTATACATGTTTATGAACACAAGCTTCTGCCTGTCTAAAATGTCAGTTGTTTTTTCCCTTTTGATCCACTTATTCACTACCTCTTTTCTGTACCAGGTATTCCTTGTTTGCAGTAGTTAATCACCAGGGAACCTTGGAGAGTGGGCACTATACCAGCTTCATCCGGCAGCACAAGGACCAGTGGTTCAAGTGTGATGATGCCATTATCACCAAGGCTAGCATTAAGGATGTGCTAGACAGTGAAGGGTAAGTTGCGATCCGGAAAGGGGAAAGGAAGGGAAACTTTGACCTTTGTTGGGCTTTCCTTACTTTCAGTTAAAACACCCTTTCATCGTAGAGGAGACTTAATTTCTGTCTTTGAATATCTAATGTCTCTCTCTGTGTATGTGTCAGTGCTTCAGAATGTTGCTTTATAATCCTGGCTTCTTGAAGGACGAAGAGGGGAAGGACGAGGGACATCAGCTGACTCTGCAGTGCTCATGCCCAAACTCTTGCTTGCTAATGGAAGTGACTCTGAAAACCAAAGTGATATGATCGTCCAGTGTAGGAGCAGTATTTATCTTCATGACACAATCCAATCTTTGTCTGCAGAACCTTTGGATTACTATGAGTGTAAAAGATTTGAAGAAAAGCCATTAAGAAAATACTGTGAACCAGAGTGGCAAGGCTATATGGGAGGCAGGTATAGAACATGAGCTGGTTTTTAGCTCATGGCTTTAAGTTGATTTCAGATTGACTTTATGGGTTCAGATATTTGCATTAGACAAGTATTGGGAGTGCAGAGCAGTAGTTTGCAAGGGAAGCATCTTCGTGTTCCTCATTTGAGGGAAGCATTGGGGACTGGTATATGTTTCAAGAATAAGGTAACTTAAAATCTGAAGTCTTCATTTTGCATTTTCAACTATGGACTTGATACTGGAAAGATAAGCCTTTATTGTTCTTGTTTGAATTATTCCTGACATTTCCATGGGTTACTGCAGGCACAGATGTTCAGTTTGTAATTTTTTTTAACAGATTTTCCCATTTTTTTTGTTTTTTGAACTTCAACCAGGAATCTATCCTATAGTATCTGAATTTTAGCGTTAAATGATTTGACAAGGTAACTTCTGCTTTGAGGTCAGCAAAAAAATGAGTTTGTTTTTCTTCAATAACAAGTGGCTAGCTCTGGTCCTCAGATAGGGTATGTCTGCAGAAGAAACAGCCATAGGCAAGGAAGAGAGGATATGCGATGCAACTGCTGCCCATCCGTCTCATTAAAGGCTGGTTTGAGCTCAGATCCATTTTCCCTGGTTCAGATAAAGGCTGACACTAAGTAGATCTGCATTGTATATGGGAAGTTCCACAGGGCGTGAGATGGAATGATAATAATTGGAAAGTCTCAGAAGTGCTTTGAAGCATTTTGAGAGTCGTGCAGTGACCCTGTCAGTGTGTGGCATGTAAAGAGTACGTAGAGATGAGTCCAGTTCCCTCTGACGGGTAACTGCTTGAGGGCTGGGCTCCGTTATGTAGCAGTATGCATAAAGTAATTAAGGACAGGAAGAATTTCATCCTGTTAAAACACTAGATTTGAGTACAGATTGAGACATTAGATATTTGAGTTGGATTTGATTGGGACACGTGAGTTTTCACCCCCATGCCTGGTTCTTCATTTTGCTTCTATAACAGTAAAGGGCAGACAGTTTGCAATAATCCTGAGTGTCTGATGCTTTGGTAATGTGACTCTAAAGCAACAGTTGCATCTTAAAGCACCTCAGTTGTATTTTGTGTCATGATAGTGTTAAATGGGTGCTGCCGGTCTAGGCACCAACATGGTCCAGTCTTCTGGAGCTTTCAGGTTCTAAATAGATTGTACAACAAGCGGGTTTGACTGTTTGATGTACAACTGTTCAGTTTCCTGAGTTGCTGGTAAAATTATTTTAGCTGGCTTCCCTCCTTCTCGTTCATGGTTACTGTAGGGAACTGGCATGCCCCTGGAATCGCTTCAAATTGAAAAGAAAAACAAAATTAATAGTCCTCATTTTTTATCATCGCATCAATAGAAATACTAACCTGCTCTGACGCGTAGCAGAAAGCTGAAACTGTACCTCTGCTTTCTTGCAGATATTTGCTGTTCTATCACAAACAGTTCCTGGAGTATGAATAGCCTTATCCAGCAGCTTGTCAGACATAAACAAGGAAGAAAATAAGCAAGCCTTCTGAATCGACACACAAACCTACCTGAAATGAAAAGACCCATTAAAAAATAACTAGCACTGAGCTGTAACAGGACCTACTTGACACTGAATCAAATCCTGGCGGAGTAAGAAATGAACAATGTCCATCGTGTATGCAGTCCCGCAAGGATAGAAAGGGGGAAAAAAAGAGGCTACAGTCAGTCACTTAACAGAGGAAATATAAAATGAAAGGAATGCTCTGGGTGGGGGAAATGGGAGCAGAGGAGTCCGGGCACTGGTACATCTCCTATGTTCCTCCAAAATGTGTGTGGGAAGGCAAGGGGTTATACCCTCATCTCCATAAAGTATCTTCTCCATTTGGTGCTTCAGCTCCAACGACCAATCATATAACAGTTAAAATTAAAAATCCAAGCCCATTTTTTATGCATATGGGTCTGAAAGCAGTAGAGTGGAGGAGGAGGGGATGACACAACTAAAGGACTTTGCAAGTATCTTTTTATTTGTGAATTTTAGTTATTAAATAAATACAGTATGAAACTATTAGGCTCTTTTTTTTCAACAACCATAAAAGAAATCCTGGATTGTGGAACTGAAGCTACAGTACTAAGACAGGTTTTCAAGCATGCCTGCTTGCACAGGTAATGTTTAATGCCATCGGACTGCTCATCAAAAGCATCAGCACAGATTATGTTCTGTTTGAGCCCTTTTTTGTTTTGTTTTCTATAAATAGCTATTTTCTTAATTTTTTTCTTTTATTCCCTTTTTCACGAGAATGAAATTCATAAATGCAACCATCAGTAAAAATGAATGAATTGGCGTGTTTATACTGTAAGAGTGGTCTTGGTTCTTTTTTTAAATCTTGTGAATAAGTTTGACTTTCTCAAAATTGCTTGTTTTGTTGTTGCTGGTTTTGGTTTGTTTTTTCCCCTGCTGCCTTCCAAAGGCATATATATGACATGTGAAAGAACCTCGGTATTGAAAAATGTACCATCTGTTAGAAACGGGTGCTGCTGGGGGCAGCATTGAGCGATAGATCTGCTGCTATTGAGCACTTCTGCAGTGCACTCCGTTTTTAAGTAAACAACACATTTTCCTGGTACGTGCTAGGCTGGTTTTGGTTCCTTGGATCCTCCCACATGTATTAACTCCTCACGTACTCTTCTCCTCCTTGCAGAATCACAGCCCTCGTGTCGGCGTCATTAGCTTGCAGCACTTCGTGCACCGGCTTAGTCTTGCTTTGTCGCAAACGCAGTTTTGCTCCTTTTCTCCCCCTCCACCGCTGTCTTTTAAAAGCAGCTCGTTGGCTTGTCGAGATACCAGCAGTAACCACTGGTGTGCTGTATCTTGCTCTCAGGAGGCTGGGCTGTGGATTGAATTGCAGCCTGTGAGAGAAACCATTCAGAACACAGAGCTTAAACGAGCAAAAATAGCTTTGTTCTCCCTTCCTTACGGAGCCCCTAGGGAGCTGTGTGTAAGAGTTGGGCGCTGTATAAAATGGTGTAAGAGCCACACCAAAAAGGTCATTAAGCTCTGCCTATGTATCCAGACAGCTGTTCTTTGACTTTACCAGTGTGGTTAAAACCATGGATGAGTCTCACCTTATAGATTCTGTGCTCTAGAAATGAGTTACAGGTGTCTAACCTGCCTGAGACAGAGGTGGAAAGCGATCTGATTAACAGAAGAAATAGGAGGAAAATAAGGGAAGTGGGTTTGTTTGTCTTTTAAATGAACATTTTTAGAAGAGCAGCTGAACAAAAGGGCAGTGGAATTGCGTTTGATTTGTACACAAGCTGGAAGAGTACAAGGCAGTTTTGTACATCAAGAGATTTCTGCAACAGCTTGCAACAGGGAAGGAAGAAGGGACAACTAATTGAAGCACTCTGAATACCAAATCAGCCATAGAAAACGTACGAAACGGTGTGGGAGTTACCTAGGCAGCCTGATTACTGCAGAAGTGATAGCATACTCTGGTTTTGTAACCTGTCTTTCCCTATCATCATGCTTGAAATAATTTTCAATTGTAATTGGATGCTGCAAGATTTAACCTGAGCGTTCTTGCCGCAAATGAAAAATGGCTGGAGAAATGCAGATGAATGGCGCACCCGCAGGAAAGGGGGCCCCTCCCTCCCCGAATCGGGCACGGTATCGTGCAGATGCTTGACAACGCTTTCTGCTACCTTTTAATAATGCAGCAAGCTTGCAGAGGAAGACAAGAATCAGCCTTTCATTATTCCCAGGGCTGCTGCAGTTGGTGTCCCCACCTCATCCTGTTGCTGGAGGAGGAGTGCCACCGCGCGGCGGGCGGGTTTCGTGGTGCGGGGATGCCTTCGCTTTGTGATGCCGAGGTCTCAGCCTTTGGCTGCTTTTTTTGATGCTGGAGCCTGAACAAATGAATTCTGTTTTCTGCTAGCACGCGCTTGGCCACTGGAGCTAATGCAGTCTTGTTTCTTTAATCCTTTAGAAACAAATTGTTTAGGGATAATGCCAGCCGTATAAATCAGCCTTAATTTTTTTCCCCACCCCTGTAAGGCTGGTGAAGAGGGCTGTGCTCTGTGCAACCGCACCGGCGCAGATGGTGTTCGGTGGGAGATGGAGAGCGAGGTGGATTTCAGTGCTGTGTTTTTGCTTTCAAAAGCAGAATTCCTGGTGTATTAAAAGCTCTTATTCTTTTCTTCCCCCTGCCATCCCACCCCTGTGTCTCTCCCTGAATCGTACCAGGCATGTTTCTGTTTCCAGTAACAGTAAATCGGTGCAGGTTGCTAGAGGAGGAGAGAGCATTTTCCCTCTTCCTATAAAAATGGAAGAACAGCTGCTGTCTCATACGAGCAGCACTACCCCTCATGATGCTTTTTCTCAAACACAGCCTTCTCTTACTCTTCACCTCTTCAGAAGCAGCCATGTGGCTCGTACACTGGGTTTATTCCCCGCAGAACCGAGAGGTTTCTCTGTGCAGAGCTCTCTTAACGTCACCTTTAGGAAAACGCCGACCACAAAGCGCCTTGCTGTGCAGCAAGACGCTAACGAATGGCTGATGAGGTTCTGCCTCCCTAATGTGCTGGCAGACAGCAGCGAAAGGCTGCCGCCTCCGTGAGCGATGACTGCGCTGCTTCAGCTGCTGAACTTCATTTCGGGGAGCAGTTTGGGGTTGACTTGTTTCTTTTGAGGTACAGTTTTATATCGACACAGCTTGGTCTGTTGTGAGGAAGCATCTGCAGAAATGACTGAAAACAAAGACTGGTGCAGTGATGCAGGCTCACCTTGGAGTGTATATTCTGTTATCTGCCAGCAAGGAACACAGCTCTACGTGAGGCACAAAAATAGCCAGAAAGTGGCTTTCAGTATACTATTTTCTTGTCCCTCAGCCACTTGACTGGAGATAAAGCTTTACTTGATGCTGTGTGCCTAATGAAAATCTGAGCAAAAGCAGAAATGTGAGAATTTATTAAACCCCCAGGTGGATGCTCTTGCTCAAAATCAATGGCCTTAATTCCATGTAGTTTAACTCGTCCCAGCTGTAACTGCTTGTGTCCCGTACTTGTGATATCCCTCTAATATTCAAAGTGATATCTCCAGGTGTGCTCCATCAGAGCTGTTGGCCAGTGGCTGCAAATGTGATACCAAATCCATTGATTCCTCTTTGTTTTCCAGCATCAAAGGGTTGTATCTGGGAGCCTGTATATTATTCTCACTGCTAATTTGTTCAAGTTGCTCCATGCTACCTTTTCTTTTATATGCTGGTAACATATAAAAAGGGAGGGCACGTCTGTGAGAGTGAGGAATGCTCCCCTCTTGTGTATTGGGGCTGGAGGGAAGGACTTGGCTTCTGATGAGTGTTTTCCCCAGTTTCTGGGACACAAACTGCTGCTTCCTCAGTCTGCTGCAGCAAGTGCTGGAGAAACCAGAGAAGCACTAAGCAGCAGCCTGGGCAGCACCGCTCTGCGGGCAGCGTGGTGACGGGAGGGACAACCCCAGCCCAACACAGGCTCTGCCTCGGTGTGAGAAGGCAAGTGGCCCCCTGGGCCAGCTGGAGCCAGAGCTGCCGCTTGCCAGCTCCATGCAGGGTGGGCTCTTGTGCTAGCTGGCATAAAGGCTTTCCTAAAAGCCTTCTCCGTTGAATAATTGATGCCTCTTGATCCTCAAGAGATGCCCTAATTGCAAAATTGGTGGCACATGTTCAGTTACTTATCCTATTTTTAAATAAGGTTCTGAATCTCCTTGCACAAGTAGCGTGGCTGGGGGTTCCCCACAGGTGACGAGCGCCTGTCCCTGAAGGTGATGCTTGAATGTCAGCAGGGCACCAGAGCCGGGCTGAAGCTGCGCGTCCCCAGCGCTGCCTGTGGGAGCTCCGTGCTGGGGAGGGGCGGCGTGATGAGGTGCTGCATCTGCTTATGAGGGTTTTCCTTCTCCTGGAGCCTCCGTCCTCGCTGGGAAGCACTTGGGCAGAATGGGGCTGGGGGCTTTCCCAGCCCTGCTGCCGGGGGGACGTGCTGGCGCTGCCCCAGGGCAAGTGCAAAGCCCCTTCGCCCTGCAGAGGCTGAGAGGGGGAGGCTGCGGGGAGGGGAAACCAAGAAGAGGAAGAGGGGCAGCGCTTTCAGTGCTGGGGAGGCCCGGAGTTGGGAGGTCAAGCTGGTGGGGAGGCCAGGAAGGAGTGGGAGGCCCAGGGAGAGTGGACGACATAATGCTGTAGGAGGCCATAGAGGGAGCGGGACACTGAGCAGTGAAGAGTGAGGAGAGGCCAAGAGGCTTTGGGAGGGTGAGCACGAACAGGAGCCTGATGGAGAACAGAAAAGGCTGAGGGAGGTGGAAGAGGAGTATGAGGATGAGCAGGAGCGGAGGCTGAGCAAGAATGCAAGTGGAGACTTTTGGGAAGACTAAAGGGTGTAGGAGACAAAAGGCAGAGCAAGAGCAGATGCCAGAAGATGGCAGGAGGGCAAGAAAGAGTAAGGCTGAGCTGGAATAGAAACTGAGAGACTGGGGGAAGCTGATGTGGAGATTAGTCCATGCAAAGATGTAGGCTGAAGAGAAGTTGAGGCTGAGCAGGGGTGGGAGGCCAAAAAGGGGAGTGGGAGGCTGAGGAAGAGTTGAGGCTTTGCAAGGGTGGAGGCCAGAAGGGGATGGGAGGCCGAGGAAGAGCTGAGGCTGAGCGTACGTGTAGGCCAAGGTGGCTTCTGGGGCCAAAAGACTTTTGGAGGTTTAGAGGAATTGGGATGCTAATGATGTCATGGTATTTGGGGCCATGGTGTTGGAGGCTGAGGCCATGGGAACTGACGCCATGAGACCAGAGGCCATTGGAGTAGGTTCCACAGGAGGGAAACAACAGGAGTTAAAGCCATGGAAGACCATGCTATGGAGTTGGAGGCCCCAGGGGCGATGGCTATGTGAAAGGAGATGCCAGGAGGGAGCGGGAGGCCAAGAGGGTCTTCAGGTTGAGAGAGTGGGAGGTAGAGGGAGTCTGGAGGGTGAGAGGCCTATGGACTGTGGGAGGTGACAAGTGCGAGAGGCACAGCAGGTGGAGGTCCGGGGGGCCCAGCCAGCGGAGGTTACTGCCGTCGCTGTACCCTGCCAGCGGCTTGCTCATGGCTGGGGTCTGTGTTTCATTCTTAGCGCACGTGGGTAAGCCCTTGCTCTCCCCATCGCACCGTGGGGTGGTGGCCTTCAGGGCTCATGTGTTGTGTTTGGGAGACCCATCTGAGTAAAACGAGATTTCAGTTTTGAAAAGGCTTATTTTCTCCCCTCAGACACAAATGCAGCGCAATACAAAACTCATCCCTTGTGCTACTGCGGGATAAGGACTTTGCTAAACAGAGGGAGGAGATGAAAGGCAATACG